GATGTTGGATGTTGAGGGGAGAGACATGACATACGCAGCATAGGATGGCAAAGTGAAAGCTTTTGTATAACTTCTCTTTTCAGGGAAACCTTCAGGCACAGCCTTGATCGCACAGAAGATAGATTAAAGACCTTCTCTTGAGGTCAAACCAAGGACCCTAGAGCTGGTCAGCTTAAGTCAAGATCCCTACGAGAGTATGATATAATATCATGGGGACAATTTGTGCGCACATGTGCCAGATCAATTTTGTGTAGACAGTTTACAGAAGTAAACTGTTGTATCTGACCTGATTCTCTCTTTACTTCAATTTTTTATATCCCGATAGGATCATATGCACCAGCAAAGCTGATTTCCATGGAAGTCTTAAGGAAAAGACAATGGATACTAAGCATACTTTTCCTGAAGTATTTGGTTACTTTTCCAGTTAAACAGGATTTAGCTTAATCTAAACCAGAAGCTTCAGCAATCAGAGTACATAAAAGCATGACTCAACACACTTTTTTATGCCAAAGCCACAGAACCAAATTCTCACTCTATGTGTGGCACCAACCACTAACATACCCAGGGGCTTAGATGTGGCTGAGGGTGCAGATATGGACTTGGAAGCCCACAAAGTTTCTCAATGAATTTGGAGCCCAATTCACTACTCAGAGCTCGGGTAGGAATCTCTCTGCATATTGTGTTTAAGTAATACTGAAATTCAGACCCTATTGAAGATTTGTATTAAACTGACTTTATATTTGAAGCCAGCAGTAAAAGTTTACCACTGTAACAGGTGGAACATGATTTTATAGGGTTTCAGAAGCAGGGAGGCAGTCTATGTCTTTCCTTGGGAGAGGTGCCTTCGGATTCCTTTTTGCCTTAATGAAGACAGTCTGGAGCTGGCACTGGTAGGGATCTTTGCTGTCTGTACCACTGACTCCTCTAGGGCTTCTGAGGACAGCTGGCAAAGCCCAGCTGCGGTTGGGAGAGCCCTAGGAAGCACAGCTTCTGGGGAGCCTGTGTTATTGGAAGAATCTCAGACTATAGCTCAATGAGGACTTTACGCTGGTGTAACCCCACACTGCTGCAGAAAGTTTCCATGCACTTTTCCCCTTCCTCTGGCTACTTGGCTCCTGTTTCCCCTCTCGCACCTCCTCCCTTCTGCTGGAACAAGCCTCATAGTGAAACAGGTCAGAAAGCTGACTGCCACTTAAATTAACACTGGAAAAGAAAATGGTTGCTTTTCAGCTGGATCTGTTCTGGTTTGATAGTTTATCAAGTGGCTGAACTGATGCTTGTGCTGATGCAAATGAAGGAACAGCACAGGGACTGAAGGTAGCAGCTGAGCAAAGGGAGGATTATTGCTTATGCTGGCTTGAATTCGGCCTGAGGGTGAAGCTAGACAAGAGGCTGAACTGACAAGTTTGTAGCTTACAACAAGGGAAGTCTTGCATCTCCTCCTTTCCCCTCCGCCTCCACACTGCTGTTCACGACTGCACAGCCCCAATCCTTGCCTTATGCTGGCCCTGGCACCCTTTGGGAACCTCACAGACTGGATTCAGCTCACCAATCTAGCAAAAAAATCCCCACTTTTTGCTAGGCTGGCTTTCTGACAGCTTAGGAGTGGAACTGGCTTACTGAAGGGTCCTTTTAACTGCTGCCAGAATTGGTGGAGAGGGTTTGGAGAAGTATTCAGCCAGGGAGAAGAACAGTGGGAATACGGAGGCATGCAAGCCACCCCCATCTGCTGGTGTTGAGCTGTGAGGCTGGTTCCAGACAACTTGTGTACTTTCATTCTTCAGACTTCAGGATTTGGTTCAAACTACTCCTAGTTCACTGGGAACCTTATGTTAGTAGGGATAGAAGCTACTCTAAAGTCTTGATCTTCCCAAGTAGTGAGTGCACCTACTATAGCTTGAGCTCTTAAATATATGCTTAAAGTTAAATCAGAATGTGAGTTCAGTTAAATCTGAGGATAAAGTATCTTTTTGGGGTGTTTCTTTCTTTAATTATGAGTTTTCTATCTCTACTTTAAAACAACTTTAATATAGTCTAAAATGTTCATTTACATTGGAAAAGATATAGAAACAGTCAACATCTGTTGTGTTTCATTTGAAAACAAAAGCAGAGCTTCCACCACTGAACAGCAGTGCTGAACCTGAGGGGCAAGAGATTTTGTGGTGTTGCACTTCAGACACAAATTTCCTATGTAATTTTACAGATGCTTACCCTCACTTGCTTCCAATGTCTTATGTATAAAATGGAAAACATGAAGCAGAAAGGTGTCATCAATATATGGACGTATATACACTGCTGCCCAGTTCTCCAACCACAGGTAATAGAGAGAAGTGTTATTATTTACATCAATCCATTTTCAATTACTTATGGTCTGCTTGTGAAGCTTAGCTAACATGAGTATAAAGAGCCCTGGGTGCACTTTTTGTTCACTTTTTCTTTTAAGACATGACAAAGAATTACAGGATTCCAGGCTTGACTAGAAAAGATGAAGCTTTTAAAGTATTTGTTTAATGAGTTTTCCCCAGCAGACATTTATTTCACTCTTTTGTGAGGGGAAAAAAAACCCAAAACCTTTAGCCATTACTGACAACACAACTGAAATGTTCCGGATACAGACACTGCCAGGTAAAGACATAATATTCATCCATTTGGGAGACACTGTGGGGGAGGAAAAGGGATATTTTTTGTTGGCAGTTTCCTTCACAGCTTTGAAAGTTTTTTTATTCCTGGCTACGTTGAGAACATGGGCGAAAAAAAATCTGTGAAGCTTCAAGTTACAAGCATCTGAGACAATTTACAACAATTTAGGGTCAAGGCGGAAAATACAAGTCTTGGCAAAGTTAGATGTAAGTGAGAAGGAGATTTCTTTGGAACCCATGGGTCACAGGACCAAAGGAATTTCTACAGTCTTTGCTTCTCCCTATTTTAGAGGAAGATGTAGCTAAGTATAACCTAACCATTACAAATATTTTTTTAAAATGGACATTGATTCTGCTTATCTATTGCAAAGAGAACAACAATTGGCATTTCATTTCTTCATTTATGCATAGTCTAATTGTAGATGTTCCCATGACCCATTGAGGTATTTCATTCTTTAAAGAATCTTACTAAGAACTTGTATGACAGTCATACTTTCGGTAGCACTTTATCTAGGTTACCCATTCTCGATAGCTTCCAAAATCTCAGAAATGCCACTCAGTAGTCCTACATTTGCAAAAAGACATGGAGACCTCTAAAATGTCTACAGAAATACCATCTGGTGTTTTCAGGCCAAGAAAATTCTGCTTTGTAATGTGACAGGTTTTAAAACAAATTGCAAAAAATAATAGATAATAAATGAGACTTACCACGACTATATATCGAGGCCTAAACTGGATGGTTCCAAACAAACCCAAAATGACAACTATTATTTGTAGGAAATTGCCAAGGATAGGAGCCCATTGGAAACCAAGGAAGTCAAAGATCTGTCTCTCTAATGCTGCCAGCTGTAAGAAAACACATAAACAGAACATCCACTTTTTAATTATGGGTGAGACAGAAGACTTGATATTTTGTTACTTGCACCAGGCTTCACTAGGCAGAAGTACAGCAAAATTCTGAAACTGTGGTTCCTGGGTGTAGCCTTTGTCAGTGTTTCAGTACAACGGTATCTGAAAATAGCTACTAGTCAGCGTACAGTTCTCCTAACGAAAAAACATTTGGAAAAACTTTAAGAAAATACTTGTAAAACCCTCATATAATATAAAACTACCTCTACAAACCAAACACAGACAAGTTTTATTCTATTCTTGAATGCTGGAAACTCTAAGGCTTCACAATATTTATTTAAATACAAAATTTGTCTTAAACAGAGGCTTACCTAGATTGAGCAAAGCCATGCGAACCTTGCTGTTTTTACTGAAGTATCATCATGTTCCCTTCCTTCCCCAGGTCTTTGTTTTCTTAGATTTAGTCTCAACTAGACTTGACTGCAAGTTCCTCAATCTATTCCTAAAGGAGAGAGATTTTGGCCAAAAAGCACAGAGCAAGCTCAGAGGAGTCCCAGGTGTGGCTATTGGGTATGTTCCCGGGAGTTCCCTAATGCAGAAATTAAGGAAGACTGCTGGGACCTCCTCGCTACCTGAGGCATGGAGGTAGATTCAGGGAGTGAAAGGCTGTAGAAGGTGTTGGAAGACCTTGGAGTAAGCAAATCAGAAAGACACGGTGGCAGCCTAATGGCTCTCTTTGCAATGTCCTCATGACATTTTGGGGGTGGATTTAGCTGGGTGTGGAAATGGAGGAAGCTAAGAAGCATCAACATCCCTGTATCAGCATGTTGTTCTTAGGTAATTCTGCATTTCTGAATGTTAAGCAAAAAAGAAAAAAAAAAAAGGCCTGATTAAAATTCTTCTGCAAACACATGTGCTACTCTTTTTGACAATCCAGTCTATTGTTCTAAAGATACTAAAATCAACTTTCTCAGCAGCACACTTGTTAAAGTTTAGACTTGGTTCAATATTTTTCCAGCCGTAGCAAGATATTATTGAGCAGCCAAACAGAATCTTACTGAGAAACAACTAAGTTTCTGTGCTTGCTAGAATTTATTACACGTCTACTTGATTTTACTACATTGTTACAAACCCTAAAATTTACTGAAATATGCACTTAAAATATTTATGACTGAGACAGATGGAGTAAGCATGGCCCTATGAATACCAACCAAAGTGTTATCATATGTGAGCGTTTCACATAAAACTTTTCATTTTACACATAATGGCCAGATTCAATCCTCACCTACAAGACAGGGCTAGATGTCACTGAGAGCAGAATCCATCTTTTCTATAAAAAAATCATGCCTTACACCAGTCATGAAAACCGCATTCTCTATGCTGAGGTTAATAAATATGATAAATCTAAACAATTAAATGAACAAAGGTTGAATCATCAACTTGGTGCAGCTCCTCTGCAATTAGTGAAGTTACATTGACTTTTATCAGCTAAACATCTGGCCCAGTATATATAAATGAAAAATTATCACACAACATACAATGTTAAAATATTATCCTTTTGGACATGTAAGATGTTCCCATCTTAACAGAAATTATCTTATCCTTTTTGTGCTGTAGGTAAGGGAGAATCTCAGAGGGAACACCACTCCCATGTGAGTGAAGCTGTTGGCTCATGTAGCATTAGCTATCTACCCTGCTTTTGTCACAGTCTGCTCTCTCTTCTTTTAACTCATTGTCCATCTGGATCAATAATTTATTTTCTTCCCTAGATAAGGAAAAGAACTACAGAAGTTAATGACCAAATCCAGAAAATGACATACTTAAATGGACCTCAGATGGAATTTCAGTGCCTAATGGTGTGGTTGTCACCTTCTTGGAAGTATGTGGGCGTCCTAACTGGTACACAACAACAGTGACCCCAATGTCATTCTCATAATGTCTTCACCTTTTAGTAGACTCATGAGCATCACAATAACAGCCTAGCTGGCACTTCACTAGGGACACCTCAGAATCACTTGCTTTTTCTACCACTCTCTAATGCACTACCTCAGGCAATTCAGGTGACCTCACATTTGGGAATACCCCTGCCTGTAGCTCCCCTAAACCACAGGATACATCACACAGTACAGTACAAGGGTGCCCCAAATCCCATGTGTGAGATGGTAGGGAGTTTCAAAAACTCTTTGGCCCAGGCAGAACTCACAGTTTATGGTATTAGCAACAACGTACCAAGAGTCCTGTCCTGTATCACATAGGAAGACATTTATGACATCCATGAGCAGAGCCAGAGCCTGTTTCATTCCCACCACTACAAGTGGAGATCTTCCAGGGTCAGCAAGGTACCTAAATAATTCACAGACCACCATTTTTCAGAGACAATGGGTCTTCTTCCTGGAGCCCCAACATTACCAAGTGAGCAGAGGATGGAGCTGCCGAATCAGACTAGAATCTGCTTATCCACCTTATCCACCTCTGCCCTGACATTCATTGAAACTCTCATGTAGCCTAGGTCTTCACCTGCACCAATAAATTGACTGTGTCCTATAACGCTCCCAGCACTGAAGGCAGCTGGCTTAGGATTGCCTCCAGTAAAGTGTCCTTGGCTCTGAAACAGGGCAGCTGCATGCAAACTACATACCTACCTATTCAAAATGGTCCCTGGGCGTGGGTGAACTGTCTGGGTAGACCGCTGGTCACAGTAAGCCTGGTTAACATGATGGAGGACTCTAACAGCTCACTAGCACCCACAATGGCATGCCACTGCTTGGCTTCTTCCCCAGGCACATGCGAATGTGCTGGTCTAGAGAGCATAGGGCTTAGCCAGAGTGGGTATTGAGGAAATTCATTTCACACAGATGGTTCGCTGCAAGAGATGGCTGCCCTTAGACATTTTATGTAGTGTTGAAACAGCTAGAGCTGTCTGAAAGACAAGAGCCCGCAGCACAGATATGAATGAAGCTGTTTAGTAGGTGTCCCTTCTTAAACTGGTCTTTAGGAACAATTTTCAAAGCCACGTAGATCAGCACCTTAAATGCCTGAAAGACATAGTACCGCAACGTCAACAAACACAGCCACTGCACTTTGCCAACAGGCTCATGTTGACAGGCTTGTCAACATGCCTACCGAGCCCTGTTCGGTATGCTCAGCATGCTCAGCTCGTGCCTAAACTGGATCAGATGCAAAGTTTGCCTTCATGTGTACCTCCTTGATATCTGCCAGGCAAGCTCTGAGCACATCTAGCAGGACTGGGCTCCCACAAAACAGCACGGTGGCCACAAGTATCTTCCCAAAGATGATTGTACAAATGTGCATATGCACCATAGATAGACATACACATATAAAAAATAATTAGTCTTTTTATGGATTACTGTGGTAAAGGCACCCACCACAAACACAGAGCAATAAGGTTTCATTTCCCCTCCTGCTGCCTACCGAGGTATTCATTCCTCTCCTCCCACCTCCTATCGGTTAGGATACCAAGGGGGAGAGCTTCTCCTTGAAGTTATGTCACCAGCCAAAAAATAAAAATTTGTATTTAGTGAGTCAAAAAGAGAGCGCAAGCAGAAACATGACTCTACAGCCTACTGCTTATGGCACTTATCCAGGATTGGGAGAATTGCTTGTGTTTCCTGCCTGCAGGGCTCTTTCTTTATTTTTTTATATACAGTGACAGCATGTAAACCACCAAAGGAGTCCTGGGAGCAGGACGCCAAACACACAGCACCATTCCTTCCCCACTAACAAGTGCCTTCACCATCGGGCTATGCAGTGAGACTTTCCTGTGCAGCTAAGTCTCATTTATTTTGCTCTTGTCGCCAGCACAGAGTAATTTGTCTCATCCCTAAAGCCCACAGAATACATTAGTGGGGGAAAAAAATCTAAAGAAAAGAAAGAGGTAGGAGGCATGTCTATCCTGCTCAAATTGCTACTCTCTTCTAAATTATAACCTTCTTGCAGACAGCGCAGATAGAAGTTAAAAAACTAATAATTCATGATAATGGCAGAGGAAACATATTAAGTCCTGTTTTCTCTGTACCATGCACTGAATAAAGAAAGCATATAAGTGCTGCTGTTCTAATGTCTAGTGTTTCACTCAACAGAGTCCCCAAGCAGAGGTGAAGGCCACAGACTTTTTAGCTCTGTGCAAATGAATAAAAGCAATCTCTAACCGAGTCTGTGATTCAGGTAATTCACTGCACAGAAATCATCAGAATAAAGGGAGGGAAACAGGTAGCTGTGCGCAATTACAGGCTGTTTTTACACAGATATGAAGAGCCAGTACTGTCTGTGTTTGCCCAGATCCAAAATCTCTGTCACCACAGCTGGCCACCAGACTAACCTATGCCACGTGGTGCAGTCAGAAAGGAGCAAGACACTGTGACAGATAGTTTCACTTGGAGTTATATGCATGTGAGTACTTTGAAATGTTTCACCAAAAACATTTTGATGATAAAGAGGCTGTTTTTCTCAACGAGAAATTTTCCTAAGAGAATTTCTGCTTTCATCACCATTTTCAGATTCTTCTGAAAACAGCCAAAAAAGCTGAACCCTGAAGGCAAGGCAGAGGTTCCCAAAATTAGCTGGCTCGACTTCTTCCATTGCTAGAAGACAGATATCAACGTAGTAGGGCAGACGAGCTCGAGGCTGGAGAAATGGGGTATGCTCGATGTGACTGAGGTCCTCTGAGGATTTACTGTGATACCACTTTCCTAACAAGCACATGTTGGGAGAGGCTGGCACCTCCACCACTCATGATAACTACAACAACAAAGTTTGGGAGTGTCCATCATAAATTGTTGTTTGATAATGTTTTTTAATGATTAACATAAAAGTGGAATGAAAACCCAAACCTTTCTTGCAACTAAAAGAGGAGGGTTTTGGTTTTGGCAAATTAAATACTGGGGGTCTGTTTTTGTGAAACCTATGCCCAGTTGTGTGAAAAATTTTCATAAGAACTTATAAAAATCTATCCAAGTTGATAGGAAATAACA